ACGTAGATCTTGATTATAGTTTTATAGTTTTTTTTACAGTCGATTTTGACATTGTTTCATATTCTGTCTAACTCTAATTTCAACTGAAACTGTTATTATTAGTTTGATGTTTGTTTTTTTTTTTTAACTCACAACATGCATATTGGGGTTCTTGCTACTCAATCACATATGACAGGATCCATGTTCACCGTCTTCTATAAGCCAAAATTGATCTCGCACTTGCCTTGATACGTTTTTTTTACACCTATAAGAACATAATTTTTTTGACCCCACTATTCTTTTTTCACTCAATTACGTCTTTGATTGTTTTTTTTTATTATTATTTTGGATTCTGATTTTGTTCTAATGTTTTCTAGATTTTATAGATAAACGCTGCTACTGTTAAAAGGAATCACAAGGAATTGGTTTGATTGGATCCTCAAGGACTTGAAATCGGATAGATTGATATTGAAATACAGTTTACATCGATGAATATAGAGTAGCTTATTGCTACTGAGAAACCGATACTAATTTTATTGAATGAAAGAGGAATTACAAGCCAAATGATTGAGATCTCCTCAAATCTCAATCACTCCCGATTCTCTGTCCTTGAACAATCTCTCAAGATCCATATAAGACTCTAAATGAAAGAGAGGATCCTATTTATAAGCATAGGTCCTTTAACAAACACTACTACTCGATCTGGGACTTCTAACAAAACAAACCATAACAACTTCTCCCCATGGCTCTGCCACGTCACTCTTCTCTTGATGATATGGTTTCAGCGAAGGAAAGTGTATCAACATATGATTAAGGGTGCAAGGAATCTTGATCTCGAAGATTTTAGTTCTCTATACAAGTGGGAAATATAAACCTATTAGGTATGATTTATAAGATATGGTAAAGTGTATCAATAGTTTATATCGCCTGAGGTATGATTTTTTAATAGGTATGTTTTCTGCTTTTTATGATTTGGTTTTGTTTATGTTCTCTAGGATTTTGTATGTAAACGCTATGTTCGATCATCTCATCTTTAGGATGTGATATCGTTGGAGTTAGACGATGAGATGATTATAACTCATTGGTCTGTTACATGTGGCTGTAAAGTTTACTATCTTAGACATGAGCTCTTCGTAGGAGATTTCGAGCATTGGAGGTGGAGGTTCTTCGACAACGAAGAGTTTGGAAAGTGGGATTGTTGAGTTTGGTTTCAGGATTTGCATGCGATGAGTCAAACTTAAGTCAACGACGTGTACGGAAGAATAATCTTTGACAAAGTCGAGGAACACTATTTTTGCATCCATAAATCATAAACAGCGAGCTCCATGATCAAGAACCGGTGAATCATTTTGTATAGGAGACAGAAGCAACATCTTTTGATAGAAGATTAAATGCATGACTTTTAATGGAGGCTGTGTCTTTGGGTGGCTTTACCATGTGGAGAAGCGAGGTTGTTGGGCACGCAAATGATCTGTTGAGCGAACGCCATGTTCGTTTAAATCGATGGCATTTGCGCAATGGAGGAGAAGCTGCACCATGCAATTAGCAGTGTATAGAGATTTGGAAGAAAATTAAGCTATGCCATGGATCATGTACATGTCAATAGAGAAAATTATTAGACATTAAACTGTCTTTAACTATAAAAGTGTTATAAACTAGTTGTTAATTATGCCATCTTTTGTTTTAAACAAAAAAAAAAATTGTGTAGGCTTTGATTATTTTTTCAATCGATATGAAATCCTATATTTTGTTTAAAATATATTTGGAGTGTTTTTGCTTATTGGATTAGTAAATTTCGAAATTAAATCTAAATGTTTTTTTTTAATATGTAGAATGCAGTTTGAGTTTGGAGCATTCGTCTA